AACTTAGGAAAGACAACCAAAGCACGCACATTGTCCGGAACGATCCACATAGACATGATAGGAACTGGATATATCGTCCTTGAATATCCTAATGCGCACTGCTCCATCCAATAATACTTACTGCACAGCTCATGCAATTGGATCTCATTGATCTCATGACCAGCGTTTTTTGCTGCTTCCATAGCCGCAGCAATAGCGTGCACACACGGATATCTATCAATATCAAATTGCTTGCAGTAGCAAGTTTTGTTTTTCAGATCAACCACATAACTACTACCATCAACTCCAGTCACACTGTATTCGTGAAAATAGCTGTTTAGTTCAATCACCGGTAAGAGCTTTGCGTCTGAACATCTATCGTGCAACAACTTCTCAACAAAAGGGACTAACTTCTGCTCTATTGGAGTCTCTATAGATATTTTCGTATATTTATTAAACCATTCAGCTAGTTTGGCAACAATCGCATCTATCATTGGTAGTAAAGCGTATGCCCTTAAGAATCTAAAGACACCATTAATAGATTCAACTGTATTAGTTGTATCAATGTTGTATCTAGCTCCTGGAAAGAAACATCGTGCCCATTTATGTTGTCCTACGTGATTATCAAGATAAGTACCTGCAGCTGGAAACCTTTTAATGAAATCAGCGTAGAGTTTCTCAAACTCAGACTCGGTGTAAGCCTTCGCTACTTGCATGAACGTCGTCGCAACTACATCTCTGTTCACGTTCTTACAGCTCAGTTTGACATTCTGAGACAAGTGATAAATACAATATCCATGGTGAGACAACGGATACACCGTACTTATTGACATGATCAAGCTTTGATTTCTATCAGAACAGAAGACCAACTCAGTACAATCTGGTATAACTGATTTCAATTTACTGAAAAACCAAGTCCAACTTGCATTATTCTCACGGTCAACTACACCAAATGCAATTGGATAATGGTGGTGATCCGGATCTTGAGCTGAAGCCACGATTAGTACTCCACCATATACATTTTTAATACTGGTTGCATCCACAATGATCACCTCTGGGCTTCATCCAATTCAACAAATGAAACTGTACCTGGATTCATCTTCTCCAACATGTGCATATAACAATAAACCACCTTATAACTATCCTCTGCGGTACCACGAAGGTCAGCTGCAGCTAGCTTTTTCCCTCTATTTGCGGTTGAGTATGACAATTTGATACCAACTTTTGATTGAACCAAAGGAATCAGATTTTTTGGAGTTGGAGTGTCTATCAAACAAGGGAAATCTTCACGCAAAACAGATGCCACTAAATGAGATGTGCCTCTCCTTTTTTTACTCATTGTACTTGTTTCTGACCGTAAGCATGTATGTATCTTAGTGTAAGTTCTGATCGAGAAACTATCTGCATTCCCATTCCTTGCTGCTCGTAAAGCCCACTTGCAACCCTTTCTAAATTCTGAGCATTTAAGCACAAACAACATAGGATCCGACTTTATTATAACAAACTCAAAACAGTTCTTGTGCGCAGCTTTTTCAACCAAATCTTTAGTTACTTGCTTGCTTTCAAATTCTTGTCGGATAGTCACATCCAAACCATCTTCCCACTCACGCTTTACAACCGGTGTAATC